GTACCCACTTGACCTGGCTACAATGGCTGGATGATCAGTACTAGACTAGAGGGAGAAATAAGAGGAAAAAAAAGAGCAATCTGCTACAATTTGATGAACTTGGCCTATACTTATGGATGGAGTAGATCAAAAGAGGAAAGAATCTTTACAGCAAGGATCATTCCCACCCCCTCAGTGACAGGGTTGACATGGGATGGGAAACCTAGACATTGGCTACCCAAAATGGGGGGACTACAAAGGCACAAAGTGACTAGCTTACAAGTTTTCAAGAGGGAGCCTAGTTCCAGAGGGTGTAGGAGAAGGTAGAATCTCCAGTGAGCGGTTTCCAAGAAATAAAGCTTTCTAAAACTAAAGGGATTTATGTGAGTAATTAATAACTAAAATATATATGCTCTAAAAAAGCCTTCAGACTTAAAGATCTAATAGATTATCACTATCCTTCTCACTATCAGGTCTTAGAATCTGCTTTTAAACATTAAAAAACAAAACAAAACACTTATAATGCCAAACTGAAATAAGAAAAATAAAATCACAAAATAGATATTCTTCATTAATGTCCGAATCAAAGCATGTTGCATTTTTTTAAATGGAAATGAAAATTTTAACAAAACATTTTATTCTCTAAAGAGAACAAAGGGAATTTGGAAGTTCCGTTAAAGATAATTTTAAATATAAAAATAAATGAAGAGAGAACAAACAAGATGGCAGATAGTGTGGAAGTGCAGTAAAGAAGCTCCAACAACAACAACACAGAATACCCGACCAAGCAGGCTCAGGGGCTGGTCCCAGAACTCTGAACCACATATAAAGGAATATTTAGAAGGTTGGAAGGCTCACAGATGGGGGAATTTATGGCAGAAGCAAGAAATCTATTGCTTTCTAGTCCGGGACACTAGGATGCTCCAGGAGCCACGATCTTGGGTGAGACCACGCGGGGGAAGGATCGGAGCGGCCACAGACACCTAGCAGAACCGCTAAGATAAAGGTATGAACATTCTTTTGGTATCTGTTCATTGGTCCTTGCTGTCTGCGCACCTCCATTC